TTAAACAAAATAATATACATAACAAATAATAAAACTTTAAAAATGTTAAATACATTCACCCTAAACCGATATTATAAATTGTTTAATGCCCAAACGTGACGTCACGCGCTAAAAGATGTTGGCTTCAAAGTTGTGTGAATATTTACTGGCGGTAAGGCGTGTCTATCAGTTTATATGGTCGAAGGTACACACATACACAAACACATACACGCACACGCACATATATAAATATAAGTGTGTCTGCGTGAGTGTTATTTAAATCTCTGCTGCACAGATTTAAGCAGTTTATTAGCAATGAAATTATTTTTTTCAAAAGATGAACATCAATTTATTTTTTGCTTCAAATAGACTAGCAGTAGTAGACCGTTCTGCAGAAGTAGACTATTCTGTAGAGACTTTCTATTCCAACTTTTATTTATTGTAGTGAAACTGTTATTGCATTCATTACTGCATAATTTTCTTCGGAAATATTCAGTTCTTTTAAATTGATCATTTTTTTTAGTATACATGTTTCTACTTTAAGAAATCTTTTTAGCATTGCAACAAGACTGAAATTGTTTTTACATCAAGTATCAACTTTTTTTAAAAAAAAAATCTTACAAATGTACGTAAAATGTGTGTGTTTCATAACAAACAAAGTTTTTTATGTAACATACATTTTACGTACATTTTGAAGATTTTATTTTTAAAAGGTTATTTGCAGAACATCCGAAAAATTTAATTTAAACTTCCTAAATCAGTAAGAAAATAAATACGCTACTTTGTAAATCATAAGTAATTTTCATCAGAACCTTCAAACTATGATTCGTCTTGAATACATTTTGCTTTTAAAGAACTTGACTTTATCTAAAGAATATCAAATACTGCTAAATGAATTCCATAAACATAACACAGAGGATAATCAATACCACTATCAGCTCAAATAATTTCATTAAAAAATTGGCTGTTGCGTCAGTGACACTTGTTATTATGTACCTTTTCATTGATAAATTAAAATTAGACCTTTTTTCTAATAGATCTACAATTTTATCTGCAGTTCCAATTTTTGGAGTCATTTTTCAGGTTTTTTCAGGTTCCAAAACTTTGTTTTGTGTAAATTTATATTTAAATAACGTTGTAAATTTATTTAACTTTGTAAGTATATTTAAAAAGTGTAAATTTATATTTAAATAGCGTTGATTTCTTAAAGACGTATATTTGTGTTATGATAAAGAAAATCGTGACCATGCTCAATATTTCTTATGATATTTCTAAAATCACACTTTAGTTGACTAAATTGTACTGTTTTTTTTTATCATATTTACAACATAGACAGAGCTGTCGAGAGGGGGGAGGGGGCACGTAAGGGACAGTTTGTACCAGGCAGCAGATATCTAAGGGGCGCTACATGGAAAGAATGCCTCTTTAAAAAAAGGTCCTTCATCTATAATATAGGAAAATTTTGATAAATAAGGGCGCCAATCAGGGTTGCTGTCCAAGGCGACGTGAAGTCTCTCGGTGGCCTTGAACATAAAATGAATTTTTTGGTATTATGGACTCATATTTTATTAAGGTAAATTTAATTTCTTCAATAGTCTACTGTTTAACAAACATTGGATTTTTTTTTCAGGTTTTCAATTTTCAATCCAGTATCTTTAGGTAAACGCTTCATATCTAAATTCGATTCTTTGTATATATTTTAAAATGAAAAAAAAACCTACTAGAGAAAAACACTACAGATTACAAATAGTACATTATTTTAACATTGCACTTTTGCAATCTCCTTATATTTCTAACAAAATTACGTTTTTAATCTACTTATTATTAACTATCGAGTATTCTGAATCGTAAACTAAATGAATATGAAATTAGATACAACACGTTACCATTAGATTACATAGTTTAAATAATTCTATAGTAGCATAATTTATATATATATATATATATATATATATATATATATATATATATATATATATATATATATATATATATATATATATATATATATATATATATATATATATATATATATATATATATATATATATATTTATTTATTTATTTGAATTTCATGCTATATTTTACTATATAATACACTTTTATCCAAAGATATTGCTGACTTAGCATAGAACAGCCATAAAGACTAATCCAAATTGATGACCAACATATTTGCGTACCGAAGTACTACTCAAGCACTGAGTTACCAGTGACTGGATTTGAACTCGTATTACACAAAAGCCCGAATTTTAACAATATGTTTGACGCTCTAACCAACTGAGCTATACAGCTCCTATAGGTCTTTAGTGACATTTACAACTATCCCCGATCGCGATATATATATATATATATATATATATATATATATATATATATATATATTATATATATATATATATATATATATATATATATATATATATATATATATATATATATATATATATATATATATATATATATATATATATTGCGCCAATTTATCCCACCCCGGGAGTATGTTGGCGCAAACTATAAAAATGGTTAATATTAGATGAAAAATTTGTAGTTTTTTACATTTAAATTAACAACAATTTTAAACCAAAATATTAAATCACTTTAAGCTGGTAGCAAATAATAGTTTGTATAATTCCCAAAAGTCTTTTTTCCAATAAATAACAAATAAATTTTGGTGTATCGAAAAACAACAATTTTAAAAAATTGCCTTGTCTGAGCTCCAAATGTGTTCTATTTAATATAATAACGCTGAATTTAAATATTTTTTGATCAAAAAATATTTTTTGGAGGTGCTCCAAGACCCTTGAACATGTAAAGTGTCTCTAATATATATGTACAAAACGTTCTTCAAAAGTAACCCAACATGGTACTCAAAAAAAAGCAGAATTATGTAAAGGTTTTAAAAAACATTTGTTTTGTATAAAAATTTATATTTAAATTTTTTAAATATAAATTTTTATACAAAACAAATATGTTTTTTAAAACCTTTAGATATTAAACTCAAAATAAAAAAAGTGTATTTTCACAAGTTTTCGAAGAATTTTATTTTCTTTAATATGTTTTTATAAAACAAATATGTTTTTATAGCTTTTTTTTGAGTACCAGGTTGACCTACTTTTGAAAAACAATTTTTACATAAGAGAAAGTCGGGTAGCCCCGGACGGCGGGTAACTTCGGATACTAATAACTTTTTATTGATTAACGATACATTTTTATTTACAATATTTAAAAAAAAAAAGATAAATCTTTATACAATATTACCAAGATTTTGACTTTTTTAAACATTTAAAATTTAAACCACGTACCCTACACATATATACGCAGTATTCTAAACATTAAAGTTAAGTATTTAATATATCATGTTCTTTAATAGCAATGGTAATGTAATAATCATTAATTACAAAAACGTACCCAAGTGTTCTCGTTTTGTGCGTGTGTTATCGAAATCTATATTGAGAGTTTTTAACGAACAATTTTTCTTTGGTGTTGTCTTTGAAACAAATCTGTATTTAAGCATAATTTATTAGGCTTAAACCATTCAGTTAAATTTGTGAGTTTTTTATGGACTGTTTTAAAAAATATATATTTATAAATGCTTTTACATCCCTATTTCAATAAAATAATTTTGAGTAGTCAGCAAATAAAATTGAACTTAATATTTTACAATACTTAAATAACTTTTTTTTATAAACTAGAATAAGGAGTGATACAGTTATTAATACTTGAGGAACACCCTAAGTCTTTATCATATAGGAACACCCGAAATGTTTATCATATATTTCAATCTACTTTTATCATAAAATATATATTGTTTCTTGTTAGGCAAATAACTTTTAAACTAAATGTTTGAGTTTTTAAATTTAAGAAGAATATTATGAACTGCTGTGTCGTCTTCGCTACGAAAAACAAATTTGACTATAAAAAACACGCCAAAAAGTTTAAAAGACAAAAAAAAAAAAAAATGCTACTCAAGAAAAATAAGAAACTCTATAACCATGCAGTACTAAGACCTACTTTTTTTTGAGAAACCAGTTTCGAAAAACTAAATACTTTCAACCATTCGTCTACTTGCCTGGTCTTCTCTTATTTATAAGAAGTTTTTTTAGTTTTAATGGGGCGATATCATAAGTTTATGGAACAGAATTAATTTCAATAATAATAAATTTAATAATAAATTTAATAATAATAATAATTTTAATAATAAATAAATAATAAATTTAATAAATCAATAAAAGTTTGACACTTATAACCTCACTCATTAATTTTATCTAATTGTTCATTAACAATTTTAATATTAATTAAAATATAATTGATTTTAAGTTTTTAAGTACAGTTGAACGAAGTTTTTTAAGATTTGATGATACAAAAATAAAAAGTCATATTCCTTAGGAAAATAGTGTCCCCTAAAATAGAGTCCTTGCAACAGTTGCTGAGCCCCCTCCTTCTAAAGACCAAAATTTCAAAAATTAAAAATATTAGATTTTAGATTATATTGCATAGTTATAAGAGCTTTAAAAATGTAAACACAAATATAAAAATATAAGTTTCTTTTATAATAAAGCTGAGAAAATCTTTTTAAAATAAAGATCATTTTTTCATAATGAAACTATTTGTCTAAAGGCAGCAGAACTCAAATGGATAAAAAGCATACCTTATCTATAAATTATTTTGTGCTATAGGCAAAATAGAAATTATTCAAAAACTTTTTAAAAAGCATTAAATTATCTTCTTTAGGTTATCTTATATTTCATTATTTTATTTTACTTCTTGTAAATAGAGATGCGGGAGGTGTTTGTTATTTGACTTAAAGAATATATGGCGTGTCCGTGGTTTCCATTATATGTTAACAGTATAAGAAAAATATTTATTCCAATTACCTTATTCAAGAAACTTTTATTGTGAGAAGCAAGCAGTGAAATACCATCTTGATTGATATAAATTATAAATATTACTACATAGAAGTATTGCTGTTAAATTTTACTATCGCATCCATTTTTAAAAATTCCTCTATTTTTATTTTACAGGTAGATGGTATTAGGTTAAATATTTTGCAAAACCATGATCCGTGCATTGCTTTTTGTCTTCATTTTAAAATTCCAAACATGCAAAGGTATTTCCCTCTTAAAAAGTTTGTTTTTAAATAATTTTATTTGAGTTTTGGAAATACTTTATATTCTTGTTTAGCTGAAAAACATGTTGCAGATATAAAAAAAATCAAACAAGAGAACACAAAGGAAATTTTGCTAAATGACATATTGAATAACAAGAATGCTAACTTTAACTCAGACAAAACAATTAATGTTTTGAACGAATTGCTAAATTTGTATGATGAATTTAAAAAAAGCCAAGTAAGTGATTTGGCTGAAACTTTTTTTAAAAATGACAACAAAAAAACTGAACCTAATGTTCTTCCTTGGCTGTTACCAGATTTTTCTGATAGTCCAAAACATAGTCCAATAAGAATCTTTACTAATTTCCCATGGAACAAAAGAGTGGCAAATAAGCTCATGAAAGATAAGCAGGCACCAGCCCTTCCCTGGTTGATACCGAATTTTCATGATAGTTTTCAAAAAAATGACAATAACATAAAAACATTAATAAAACTTCCTTGGTTTAGATATGATAACTCTATTTCAATCGCTCCTCGTCCTTGGAATAAAGAAGAATTGGAAGAGCTTATTTATGGTGACAATAGAAAACTAGATAATGATATTCTTTTAAAAAGAAACAAAATTTCAAGATCTTCAAACGCCCCTCGTCCATGGAATAAAGAAGAATTGGAAGAGCTTATTTATGGTGACAATAGAAAACTAGATAATGATATTCTTTTAAAAAGAAACAAAATTTCAAGATATTCTGACAAAGCAGTTTTACTTCGATGGTTAAAAGATACTATTGAATCTTATGAAGATAGAGAAAAACCGCGATTATACTTTGGATCAGCAATAATGCCTTGGAATAAGCAAGAAGCTGACAGTTTTAAAGATAAATTAAAAATTCAACCTCAAAAAAATAAAAAATTATCATTTAAATCACTTTGGAAAAGACTAGAATCACTGGGGTTTCAAAGAGGTCTTGAAAACAATGAATTAAAATCTCCTAGGCGAAAAGAAGATTTATCGGTTGAATCTTTTTTAAAAGGAATGGAATCACTTAGATTGCTTAGAAATTATAAAAATCTTCACAATGACGCTAATTTTCAAACAAATGAAGACACAACGCTCAAAAATTTAATAAGTAGTATAGAAAAAGAAAATTCAAAAATCAATAATGAAATAGCAAATTATGAACTTTATGAAAAGATTAATGAGTTTTTGTCGTCAAAAAATTCAAGTGAAACCGATTCTTAAATCAATCTAAACTAAAAAGACCAACAATCTAATAAATGAACTTAATGTTTAAAAGTTTTTATTCCTTTGATTGTTTTCTCATAATATTTTTTGTGATTTTCAGATTGTTTGTTTTTACAAATTTTAGATTTTAATAGTTCATAAAATTATGTCATTCATTTTATTTATTCATCCGTTATTATATTTATTTTTCTTGTTTTTTGAACGTTTTTTATTGCAAATAGTTAATGATGACATATTCATGCTAAAATAATAATATAACAATAATTATTACTTTTGTTAATGATTAATAATAATAAATGGCAAGTGTAGCCTAGAATAACCATAAAAACTTAGATAAAAAAATATACCATTATCCTAAAAACAAATTAATAAAAAGTTAAAGTGAATTATGAAACTTTAAAAATATAAAATTGTATAAAAATAAGAGAATTTTTCGTTTGCCCAGATTATAACTTAGAAACATTTTTTTTTTTTTAAATTGTAACGGAATTTTTATTTCTATTATATTTTAAGCAAATTTTATTTTTAAATTCAAAAACAATTGTTTTATTTTTGATTTATTTTTATTGTAGTATTATATTAATTTCATTTAACTTATAATCTGCTAGACAATGCCGTCCGACTCGCTTGTTTTTCTGTACTTTTTTTTAGCTAGAATTATGGAATATCTAATACAGCCAGTTATTTAAGAAATAATATTTATATAAAAACATTTTGACTAATTCATCAAGGATATTGCCTTTATTTAGACTTATTTTAACATAATAATACTTTATAAAGATATGATACCAACTTTTGTTTAGCTTAAAACCAAACGATTTAGCTCAACTGCACAGAAATATAAATAATGCAATTATCAAATAAAAAATAATCCATTAAAAACGATTTAGTTTTCCAATAACAAAGTATATATTGTGCAAGTTTATCTAATTTTTTTGATTATGTTTATTATTTGGCTGTACAACACATTCCAGAACCTTTTGCATTTCTGTTTTAATGCAAATTTTAACTAGTCGGACACCACTGCTGCTTATTAAACTGTCGATAAATAAACAGAAGTAAATTTATTTATTAATTTGTAATTTATTAACTGAGATATAAGATTTTCTGGAAAAGAAGAATAAAGCATTTGTTAACAGGTGTTACATCTAATTTAATTGAAAAAGTATAAAAATCTACAAAATTACAAAATGTGATTTAAATTTATTAAAATACTGTTTTACTGAGTCCCAGTACATGTGGATAAAATTAGAAAGTAAAGAGCAAGATGTAGGTATTTTACAATTTACAGCGGTATCCTGAAATTTAAGAAAATAATAATAAGCCAATTTATGTACACAGTTAATAAACTAAGTTATACTTTTAAAAAAGCATGCTCAATGCGTGAATTAACTTTGCAATAAGTCTTAATGGATGAAGAGTTTAATTTATGATCAACTTTGACATACTGCTCAAGACCCGGAAGAACAACCATTCACTTTTTGTTGGATTATGTAAAATATTTACATTAATATTATAAAATTTTAAATTTTTTTTGTTGCCTAATATTTTGTTTAACTTATTTGACATTTATTTAAAAAAAAAAAACACAACGGGCACCTAAAATGGTAAAATAGGCTTTGGTCCTCCTCAATTTTACCCTTTGCCCCATTTGTGACCCTTAGCATTTTTTTTAACTTTAAAAACGCTATTTTCTATTTTAATGAAGCAAATACTCTTGATTAAAATATTTTTTTTTTGTAATTTGCAACTAGCACACATAAATGGGCTTATGCCCCCCTTGTGTTTACCCTTTTGCCCCATTTATGACCCTTAGCCATTTATTCGGATTTTAAAAAATCTCTTTTTTATTGTTATAGTACAAATACTCTTAAATAAAAAAGGTTTCACTTTAGTAACACTCTATTAAACCTAAACTCATCTCTGGTCCACAGTGACTAATCATATCCAAAATTGCTAATAAATAAGAAGACTTAGTTGAGTTCATTTTTGCTGTAAATTGGAGTTATAATGAATCCAACGTCTTTTAAAAACTCAATCAGAAGTTTGACAAGTAAAAAATATTAAAATAATAACTATGACCAGAGCCCGCGCGAATAGGTATCACGTGAGGGTGACATCAACTCTTGCCGACTATTAAAAAACAAAAAAGTCCCTCGTTTTTTGAAATTTGCCGACTGTTTAGTCAAAATTAGCCGACTTTGCCAAAGAAATTTGCTAAACAAAAAGGAATGGTACCTAGGGGAAAATATAAATGAATGATACATTGCGTAAATCTCTGGGAAAAGATAAAAAAGCAACTCAGCTTTGTTATTTTTTAATTTAGCTAATCATGTCGATTTTATTACTTCAAACTTCAAAAAAAAATTATAAAATTTAATGGCGACTATAAAGACTTTACTAGATACTAGATTTTGAAATCAATTAATGATTGAGGTTGACAACTCAAACATATCCAACACCTAAAATTTAAAAACTTACTGTAACTCGTCGAAATAAAAGCCCAAAGACGACGTACTCTGTTAAAAAATTCGCCGTAGAATCTACGGAGATTGTCCGGCAGCAAAGTGACAGCCAGGGGTGTGAAGTCGTATAAAAAAAGTAACGACTCCGACTCCAGTTGTTGAAATCTTTTGAGTATAACTTCGACTCCAACTCAAAAGCAAAATTTTTGAAAAATTCTTTGAGTTTTTTAAAAAATATTGCCCGGTAAGTTGAAATTTTTTTTTGACAAATTTATGAAACATTCTTTGATTAGTATGAACATAAGGTTAATTGAATGTTTTGTACATGCACTTGCAATACCAAGAAGTTTTACTATCGGAGTCGGAGTCGCGATATTTTTTAGCGACTCCGACTCCGATAAATTGTCGCAACTCCTCCGACTCCACAGCCTTGGTGACAGCACTTTCTCCGTAAAAATTAACGGTTTCCGTAGTTTTTATTTTCCGTTAAAATCAACGGAAAAACTCCGTTAATTCAGCGAATAGACATTTACTTAACTCATTTATCAGAGTTTACGCTAAAGTCAAAAATAAATGAATAGAACTTATATGTTGTTATAAAAACGTAATTCGACTATTAAGAAACTACTCGTATTATAATATGATACACATCAACTAATAATAGCTATAATAATTATAAACAAATTATATGATTTTATAGTGGTTATTATATATAAATTGTATTTTATATACTATATAATATTTATGATAACAAACAATATTTTATTTTGACAAATTTACTATATTATAAAAGTTGTTATAATATATTACATTATAATAGTTATAATAAACATAAACAAAATGTCTTTTGATCTAATGATGCTCTGTCCACTCAAGCGCTAGTTCGTTTACGAAACTTGAAACTTTTGGGTAAGGTCCGACTGCTTTTTTACCAATTTTTCTTTTCAAATTAATTTCATTTTTCACGATTCATTTTTGCAATACATCTAAATACCAATAATTAGATCAGATTAATAAATCATAATTTACAGAAAAAAAAAAGAAAAGAAAGTAATTTTGAAAAATTGTATGTAGAGCGAGCAGTTGCAGATGATCAGGATGTAGTGATATAGAAGAAAGTATAGGTCAGAAGTAGATAAAGTTAAAGAATACATTGCAGGTAATATAAAAAAGCTATGGATTTTTATAGATTTTTTATAAACAAGTATGAAAGTATATATTATCACAAATGACCTTTTTTTAATAAGTTTTTTAATAATTAAAGGAAGTATCCAGACGTTGTGTTCCACAGACCATTATTGTATTATCACAAAGTAAATATAACACGTAAGCCTTGAGAAGCGTGATTATTTATTTTTATTATTTTTATGACTTCAAGTGCAAAAATGGCTCCTGACAGTCTTGGATTGGAACTAAAAAAGAAAATATTTAATATAAAGATATATAAAGAAAATATTGGCGAATACGTAAGTGGAATGTCACAAATAAGTATTTGTGATAAATATCGCGTGAAAAAATGGACCGTATCAAGACAATGTTCCAAATATTGTTCTATGGGGAAGTTGGCAGCAGATAACAAAGATGAAAGACCGCGTTCCACCACTTCTAGAGAGAATTCTATGATTGTTAGATCCGTCAAGAAGGATCACTGGATATTATCAGTCGAGATACAAAAACAATTAGAGCTGCGTGTATTGAACCGAACAATCAGACGACGTGCTGATGAAGCCAGATTGTTTTCTCGACACCCTGCAAAAAAGCCGCTGATTTCACTAAAAAACCAGAAGAAAAATCTCCTGTTTGCTACATCTCATATTGACTGGAATGTGCAGAAATGGTATATTGTCCTGTTCAGTGATGAATCGAAGTTTAACATTGGGAGCGATGGCATTTGCCGTGTACTTCGACCGGTCGGAAAACGCCTCAATTTACGTTACTGCCATAAGACCGCGAAGCATGGTGGAGGCAATGTATTGGTCTGAGGGTGTTTTTCTGCTAACGGTCTAGGTCCAATACATTGAATCGATGGAACAATGGAACATTTCACGAATAAAAGTATCCTGAAAGATGTTATGTTACCTTATGCTAAATGAAATATGCCAATAAAATGGGTTTTTCAGCAAGACAACGATCCAAAACACACTGCAAAAGTAGTCAAGCAGTGGTTTCAAGACAATCACCTATCGGTGATGGATTGGCTGCCTCAATCTCCGGATCTCAACCCTATCGAGAACCTGTGGAAGGTTGTCAATCGCAGAATTAATCGTTAAGGTGTTCCTAATAAGGATCAAGTGTTTGAATAAATCCAAAAGGCCTGGGCAGCGATTCTACAAAGTTTTATTATTCACCTGATCGAATCTATGGCTCAAAGATGCAAGGCTGTGATCAACAACAAAGGATTCGCCACGAAATATTGATAGCGAAACACAACATGGTCAACATTTTGTGGAGTTGTACTTGTTTTGTCCTGAAGGAAATCAATTTTTTTAAATACTTTTGATTAATTTATAAATTTTCGTGTACAAAGAATGAACTTTGTGATGAATAAAACTTAAAGAACGTTGCCTCTAAACAGTTACATTATTATTTCTCTAATTTGAAAAAATGCAGGACTTTTATAAAAAGAAACTAAAATAGCATTATTTGGTTGCACTTGTTTTGTCCGATACTGTATATAAAAAGCAATGTTTAACATAAGAAGTTATTTTTTTATTGGCGACATGAACATAAATTACCTAAGCTATTACGAACACGCAAATACCAAAATTTTTTTCGATGACATGATGCAACATTAGATTTTCCCAATTATAAAAAAACCCACCCAGGTAATTCCCACCTTAATTACAGCTATTGACAATATATTGA